CACCAAAAAATCAGCACAATCTCGCTCTTTCCAAACTGTAGCCACAATATTGGAGTCATCCGCATACTTGAACAATATATCAAGACCGTCCAATTCTAAGTTTAAATCATTCAGGAAAATGTTAAAAAGATGTGGCCCACTGACACTCCCTTGAGTGGTGCCTCTATTGACACATTTCCATTCACCCTCATATCCATTGTAGCATATTCTTTGTTTTCTGTCCTTCAAGAAACTGAGGTACCAGTTAATAATATACGGGTTAAGTGGGAAAGCTTTTAATTTACTTGCAAGTAGATCGTGCTTAACTGAATCGAAGGCCTTACTAAAGTCCATGGTGAACAGTCGGACTGCTCTACAGTCTGGATCGTCCATATAACTGTTTATCCTATGTTGCATGGCTAAAAGGGCGCAAGTACAGTTTCCACCGGCCCTATATGCAAACTGCGTGCGGCTTAGATTATTCTCCACAACATCACGAACATGGGTGTCATATACAATTCTCTCGAATGCCCTAGCTATCACCGGCGTTATACTAATATTGAATATTATTTGGTTAAACTTCTTATATAGTTTTATTGTGGCCAAAAGAACGAATGAAAAACATAATTGTTGGATAAACATTTATTCATTCATCATAGAAAGTATGTCCTCTTGCATGTATATACAATGCCTTGCACGGGAAACCATAAAACCCAAACTCTTTGATCTCTTGTTAATCCAGGCATATTCGAAAGGCGAACGAAGACCAACTTTATAATACAAACTCCCAAAGGACGTCAAATACGAACATTTTAAACGTTTCATACTTATTTCGCTTCCCAAGAAACACGAGAGGCTAATTTATACTAGGACAATACCCGAAATTAAAGTTCAGTTCAAATACTAAAATTGAAAATGGCAATTGTTTTCATATAAATTTGACCAGCCGCTTTTCTCGATTTTTTTACTCATTTTTAAAGCGTACGCCAAATTCAAACATTATTTTGTATCTCACGTAATATTACATAACAATAATAATAGATTTTATTTACAGTGGTATTACAAATTTAAAAAGTATTAAAAACAACAAAATTTGAGTGCACGCAATAGCTTTCATAGTTTTTATACTTTACATGAAATCAAACAGCGCAAGTTTTTTGGGGGACACCCGCGGTATGCTTTTTGAAAACCGATTCAACCGATGTTGTTCTGGGGGGGGAAATAACCCCCAAAAAAGCAGAAAAAAACTGTTTGAAACTCAGTAATATTGAAACAAAATGGCAGTGATTCCACATAATTGTGGAAAATTACGAAGCATCCAACAAAACTTCTAATTTCCAATAAAGAAAATAGCACACCTAACGATCACAACTTTTATTGATAAGGTTAACCTACCTCTTCAGCTGTGGTATTTTCGTCGCATACAATTACTTCTTCGTCAGTTGGTAAGGGTTGATCTGTAGCACCCATGAAGAGTGACAAGACACAACCAAACACTTCGCCTAAAATAATTAAAACCATACAGTAACTGCAGATATAAAGTAAACAAGCGTCACCAATTTATGATTTTGATTTTTCAATATCGAAATACATCGTAATTCCTTCTGCTAGCTACTCCCTCATGTACATCATCTCATAAGTATATACTGCAGCTAAACGTTAACTCTTTTAATTTACAAATTCGTAATGTAAAGTGACAAAATATTTTGGTACTCTGTAAATATTATAATTGCTGATCATTTATAAAGCTATATTTGCGGCGACTATTCTTGTTTCAATTCTAATTTTTTTTTTATTTCCACGTAATTTTATTTGCAAACTTTCCCTCTATTTGCATCGTGTTTCAACTATTGTTGTTTCCACATCAATTAATCCTGCACATTTATCGTTTTTAGGTTTTGATATTTTTCTATATTTGTGCATGACCAATTAATACACTATTAAAATATGTTCAACATGGATCGACTATACAGGATATACGCCCGTATTCTAAAAGCACACTCACACTCAATGAGTGGAGGTTCAATTTGAGCTTCTCTTGAGTGTCAATGCTGTTTTTGAATAGCTAGAGGGTTAGTGTCGTACCTTACTATGTGACTATACTCACCCTCTAGCTATTCAAAACCAGCATTGACACTCAAGAAAAGCTCAGATTGAACCTCCACTCATTGAGTGTGAGTGTGAATGAACTTTTAGAATACGGGCCATCCTCGTTCCCAGGGCTTCTCGGCTGGCTGCGTTGCCGTAAGCCCTGGGACAAGCCGAAGCAGAAGTGATTTGATTGGTCGTTGGAAATAGAGTGAAATATGAAAAGTTTATTCATCAAGTGAATGTTTATATTCGGCAATATGGCTGCCTTCAAGGAGTGCGCGTTCGAAATACGAAGAAATACAAACGTAAACTGCTTGTTTTCTATGGATTAATGGAGATAATTTGCAAACCGAGCGAAAGAAAATAACAAAATGGACAATTAGTAGAAGTAAGACAAAAACAGACAAAAAGTAGAAGTAAGCAACAATATCGAAGAAACGTCAATTATGAAGCCATTAAAAAGTTTCTTCATTTTAACATTTTCTTGTTATAAAGTTGTCTATTATTAAAACATTGTGCTCAAGTATAATTGTAAAATTTTAAGCACACTGTAAATATAAAATGTTTAATAATATATATTTACGATAGTAAAGTTTTAATGGTGTAATATATTGTGTTTTATTATGCTTTTGGTATTGGTCACTTGGCCTATGGCCCTATTACCCACCTGGCCACCTATAAATGGCCCTATATTAAAATGGCCAATTGGAATTTATAAATATAGCAGATAGAATATTATAGGTGTATTTTACTATTTCTGAATTTTTCAGTTGTATTATTAGTGAGTAATTTTAATAGCTTTTAATTATTTAAATACAGTGAATAAGCTTATAAGCATATTCAATTGCACCAGTCATTTGAATCCCTGCACCTTTGGCATACCAGAGGGGAATGCAAGGACAATTGCCTCCTATTCAACTGGTTTATCATTTCTTGGCAAACAGGGAAGACACTTACTTTCAGTGTCCAAATTGGGGAATGAGTGAGGTCATGTGGGGGGGTCACTTAGTCTTTTATCTGCTGTATATAAATGCTGAAATAAAGCAGTAAGCTAGGAAAAGCTTTTACAGGACAGTAAAGGAATGGTTTGGGAAATTTCAAGTGAAAATTCCAGTTGAATACCTAGTGATGATAGGACAGGAGAAATTTACCTTGCCATTTTGTCCTGGCTGCAGGGGACTCCACTGAATTTCACACACCAACTTAAGTGAATGCCCCTGTATGCCCGAGGTGGGGGTCTCAAATTCTTATGTCATATTGGATGAGATCATGAATTTCCTGTTAACAGTTCAGAGGAGAATACTTATTCTGTTGTCTTATTGCAAACCTTGTAAGAATTGAATTATAAATAAATTATTATTATTGACAAAACTAAAAATTTGTATATGTATATGCAGGCTTCTAGCCAGGCGACACCCTACCACGTCTGTATAAAAATGGATTTTAAACAAACCATTACAAAAATGACATAAAAGTTGCTTTTGTATTCTGAAATTCTGGTTTAAGCCTCCTATTATAGATATATTGAACTGGAAAACTCATATTTTTAATGTGCATATGTATAGCAATATATTGATAAATCAGAATTTTAACCCCACCTCCCTTACTATAACTCAGGTATACATCCTGTTGTGGTGGACATTTAGATTGGACACCTAGATAGATACTAGAAAATGCTTAGTCACACTTCTGGATAATGGGGGGGGGGGGTCAATGAACTGCCTGATGTGAAATTGTAAGAAATTTAAAAATTGACCAGTGATAACTTGACATTATGTAAGGGAGTTAAATTTGCTAACATTACCCTCCAACCATGGCTATCCCATTCACCCTCAAATGATTTGGCCCCAATCTGAAACAGAAGGCACACTTGCATGTAGAAAATATATTGGAATGCAGAAAATATTGTTGTTATACTGTAATCTGAAAACAAAAATTTCCCTCAAACATACATTGGGCCATACAGTCATGCATATAGTTTTGATTGTCAGATGTAAGCAGCATAGTGAGTTGCATTCATGGCCAAAGACATATTAGTTTAATTATTTTACATAATTATTTTTCGTCATTTGCCACACATGTAATCGGTGAAGGATTCAGGATTATCCGGCATGGAAATAACGTTTTAAACGTACTATATAAAAACGGTGTTCAATATTCATACTACATGATGGGCATATGGCCAAACAAACACCTTGACCTTGTGCTTTTTTGCTCGAATTTTATACACACGCATGATTTTGTATACATAATATAAATTTAAATCTAGCAATTCAAACCCAAAACTGATGGAGTCATGCATGACATCTATCTATAATTTATATTTTCTCGAAATGTTAGGTGATTCATTGTTATTGCCGTTGTTGTAGCCCAGTAAACAGACACACACCGCCGTTTAGACATGTCACATGTCGTTCTTGTTCCTTTTATATACAACATACGATAGACGACAAAGTTTCGTATTGCTTCTCTTTAATTTCCAGTCCGTCTTTGTCCAGTCTTTGAAGTGATTTTACAAGCGCGTGTTGAAGCAGGTCATCTGTACAAGAACCCATGATGTTTTGAATCACAGCAACGTCTTCGAGCACATTTCGAGCGACTCGATCATGTTTACATCATACGTGAAAATTGATACATGTAATACGAGACCGAAATGTGGTTGTATTTTGACGAATATGAACGATACAACGAAATATAAAACCCCAATATGTATAATTCCATTAGGTGGTCTACACATATTCCCTTGATGGTGGAAAATACATCAAAACAAAAGGAAAATCCAATATTTTCTTCTCACCAACACGTCTCCACTCCTCAGTAAAAATTAATGCACAGTCAGCATTTTTAGCTGCAGTAGAGCACGTTTACTTCCGGAAAACACCAGAATTTGTGGTGTTCCGGTTCGGCTTGTCCCAGGGCTTACGGCAACGCAGGCAGCCGAGAAGCCCTGGGAACGAGGATGCATGTTGTGTAGAATGTTGTTGACGGAAACCATATTGTGAGGGACACAACATATTTTTCATATTTAGATATTTGTCTAAACGTTTATACATGATCTTTTCAAAAATTTTATTAAATACCGATGTAAATATATATATATATGTAGCTAATGTAAATATATGTAGCTAAAATTAGTAAAATATATTTATATTTAACTAATTAAATATAGGCATCCGCCATCTTGATTATACTTAAATATTTATATTTAAGTATAATCAAGATGGCGGATGCCTAACACGTGCTACGATGTGCTCAATGAAAAATACCGATTTCTAAACGAATACTGATAGAGTTTGCTGGAATAATATCTTCTTAAACAAATAAAAGAATACTGAACACATTGAAACGTTTTTTTAGTTGCTTGAAGCAGGAACTAAGATATATTATTTAGAAATATGATGACCGAAGGCGAAGTATCAACGAAAACAACAATCGACGCGTCACTAGAGCGATACAAGATTGAAAACTTCAAAAATACGAATGCTAAGCGAGTACCTTATGAGGAAATCGACTACAATATCTACAAATCAAGTCATGTTGATTTTTCAACCACGGAAAAACGCCTTCCAATATGGATTAAGGCTCTATTCTGCCGATACCACGAAAATGGCGGAATCAATAATACGAAAATCATCACTCGATGGCGTGAGCAAGAAAATCAAGATAATCCGTCGAAATGCGATAAAATCTCGCTCAGTTTTCACACAAAAGAGAATGAAAATGTTCTAACCATTACAGTCAATGTTACTGCTGGTCGTATTAAAGCTCAAGGTAGATTCTACAAAGAATGGGGAGCGAAGGAATTCGATCAACTGCTTGCCATGGTAAACTCACCACAGGACACGTGGAAAGTCGACAATATAAAACCCTTCGTGGAAAGCATTCTAAAGGAGGATAAGATCGACCTTCAACCACTGGAAAAAACAAAACAAGCGTTGTCTGAAGAAAGTACAACCCCAAACACTCCTCGTGATAAGACATTTTCCCAGATGAGATTACAACTGGCTAATATCGAAGCAGAATTTGTCTTACATAGAGAAAATACTAAACAAACAATCTCTGAACTTTCGCAGTCTATTGAAACGAAAGACAAAGAAATCGTGTCTTTAAAAAACACAGAAAAGGAGAAACAACAAATCATCAGTGATCTGACATTGAAACTATTACAAATGGAAGAAAATATAAATGCTCTTAATAAAAGATGTAAGAGAATTGAAGAGAAAAACTCTAATTTACAACAATCTGTACACAAAATCCAAAGTGAATCTTGTGCAGAAAAGTGCACATGGGCCTCAATGTCTCCACCACCACCCAACACCACTGAAGAATATAGTATCCCAACATCCAACACCTTTGATCTTCTAACTGATGATGCAGCAAATAAAGGTGATAACACAAATGAACATGTAGAGTTGGAGTCCAAAGGAAACAAGGAAGAAAACGTAGAAGATGGAGTCGAACAGAATGACAATATTCAGCAAGACCTCCCTCCCACTGTCCAACCAAACACAAGTGCACAACCCGAAACTAAAACTGACCACCAAAAGTCAATCGACGCAGAAACCATCATCATATGTGACAGCAATGGTCGATACCTGAAACCTAAAGAACTTTGTCCTGACTCAACAACAAAATACATCCGATCCCCAACTCTCTCCCAAGCAAGGCAAAAAATTGAATCCTTCAACTTCAGTAACCCCAAAAACCTTATTATCCACTGCGGAACTAATGATATCGAACAACCCGGAAAAAACACTATAACCGAAACCCTAGAAATTGTGGATTTAGTCAAACAAAAACATCCAAACTGCAGAATTCTAGTATCCTCATTATTATCAAGAAAGGATGAACTTAACAACAAAGTACCAACGATTAATGAAGAACTTAAAACCAGACTTTCCTCCAAAACAAAAACCACTTATATCCAGCATACCAATATATCTAGTGCTGACCTACACGACAAGAAGCACTTGAACGAAAGGGGTGTTAAAAAATTTGCGAAAAACATTAAAGCGGCTTACTTTAACACCACACCTAAAAAGAAGGAAATGAACAAAAAATATCCCCCAAGAGATATCCACAACCAAAACTTCCCACAACACATGAGAACACAACCTTTCCAATTTGGCCGCAACAACATATACCCACCGTTCACCCCCATCATACCAACACCAAGTTCACCCCCATCATACCAACATCGTATCAACACTCAACATATCAACAAAGGAACCGGACCACCCCCTCCCTCATTTCGCCAAGATAACCGAATAAACACTCTACCACCTCAACTGGTTGGCCTGATAAGACAACTCTATGGATGCCTTAGCATATAATAAACTGTAAGTCTTTAACCCATACTATCACTATTTTATTTAATTAATATAATACTAGAACCATTCTCCTTTCAAATTCTATCATGCATAATTTTGCTATTAAACAAAAGATTGGGGTTTTTTCCCCCCAAAAGAATTACTTCCAGCATTCTCTATCAAATTATTAGATATATCTAAAATGAGCACAGGAATTTCATTTAGCACTTGGAATATTAATGGTATATTCAATAGCGTCCTTGGAGATAAAACCAAAAACAAGGACTTTATTGATTCTATTTCTAAGATCGATTTCATATTTATAACTGAAACATGGACAAACACATGTTTAAACATTCCAGGATTTGAGGCTATTATTTCTGAAACAGCCAAACCAGTTACTAACCGGGCATGCCGAAAATCAGGCGGCATTAGCCTGTTATTCAAAAGCAAATTTAAGAAATATGTAAGCATTATTAAGAATACAAAAAATTTTTTGTGGAGCAAAATCTCCAAAGAAATCTTAAACTCTGATCGGGATCTATACATGTGTGGTACATACATCCCACCTGAAAAATCAAAGTACTTTGAAAACGAAATTTTTGAAGAACTTGAAAATGATCTAGTCCTTTTCTCATCCAAAGCAAATATACTTCTTCTTGGTGATCTAAATGCTAGAACAAGCAAACTCGAAGATTATATTTCAAGTGATGGAAGTAATCACATTCAAGACACTAGTGGTAACTCCTTTCAACCACCACAAAGACAAAACCTTGATTCAACAACCAATAATCATGGTAAAAAAATTATTGAAATTTGCAAAAGTACTGACATGAGAATTCTTAATGGTCGGACCAATGGTGACTCCTTGGGAAGACCAAGTTTTCATAGTAAAAATGGAACCAGCTCAGTTGATTATATCATTTGTAACCAAAACTTAATGCCGAAAGTTAAACATCTAGTTGTTAAATCCCCTAACTATCTATCTGACCATAGTCAAGTTATAACCTGGATTAACTTACACCAAACCACTAACACTATTAATAATACTCCCTTACAACCCCCAATATCAAAATTACCACTACAATATATTTGGAACAATGAATCAAATGAGAATTTTAAAAAAGCGTTAAAATCAGATGAACTACAAGAGAAACTAAGCACATTCCTTGAAAATGATTTCTCTTCTGACAGAGAGGGCATAAACAAATGTGTCAATGAATTTGAAAACATTATTAACCTTGCATCCAAAAAATCTCTTAAAATCAAAAAGAAGAAATATAGACGAAAAATTAATAATGTTGCAAACAAAAAATGGTTTGATAAAGATTGTAGATTTAAAAGACACCAGCTTAGAAAACTTGCAAATCAGAAACATAGAGATCCAAACAACACTGAAATTAGAAGTGCATACCATACTGCTTTGAAAGACTATAAAAGCACTTTAGAAATAAAAAAGAAAAATTTCCATTTCGATAAAATCCAAGAAATTGAAAATGCTAGCAACGATCCACTGCTATTTTGGAAAACATTAAAAAATATCAGTGACGATCTTGATTTTAATGAAACTAAGAAAAGCCCACAACCAAGTGAATGGCTGAATCATTTTGAAACACTTCATTCAGAACATCAATTAAACAAGGAACAAAACGAAATCGTTGAATGCCTGAAAAACTATGAAAAAATCAAAGACAACTTAACCGAACTTGATTACATCATCACAGAAGATGAACTACTAAAAGCAGCTAAAAAGTTAAAATCTAAAAAGGCTGTCTATAATGACAAAATCAGAAACGAAATGATTAAATCTAGTATTGGAATTCTCTCTAAAGCTTTTCTAAAAATTTTTAACAACATCTTAACATCGGGGAAGTTTCCTGAATCATGGACCGAAGGCTTAATAACCCCGATCCATAAATCAGGAAACTCCCTCGATCCAAACAACTACCGAGGTATTTGTGTCTCAAGCTGCATGGGCAAATTATTTTGCTCAATTTTGAATAATAGATTGATGAATTTCGCAAACGAAAAGCAATTAATTCACCCAACTCAAATTGGATTCATGCCTGGAAATAGAACGGCTGACCATATTCTTACGCTGAAAACTCTGCATGATAAATATGTCAAACAGAGTGAAAAAGAAAAAATCTATGCATGTTTTGTTGACTTTAGAAAAGCTTTTGATTCTGTTTGGCAACAAGGCTTATTTTACCAACTTATCAAAAACAACATAGGGGGACACTTCTACGATTTAATTCAAGACCTCTACTCAAACACGAAATGTGCAATAAAACTATCTGAAAACAGAACACCGTTTTTTCCTTACAAAAAGGGAGTCCGTCAAGGATGCATTCTAAGCCCTTTATTATTTAATATTTACATAAACGATCTTCCAAAAATGTTTCAACAAACACAATCAGATCCATTTCTATTACCAAATGGAACTACTATCAACAGCCTACTCTATGCGGATGATCTCATTATACTTTCACGGTCAAAATCAGGTTTACAAAACTGTCTAAACCAAATAAATGAATGGTGTAGTAAATGGCTAATGGAAGTCAATATCAAGAAAACAAAAATTATGATTTTTCAAAAACACAACTCGAAATTACCAAACCTTCATTTCCACATTGGAGATAAAAAGATAGATATAGTCAAAGAGTATACCTATCTTGGTCTCAAACTAGTACCAAATGGGAAATTTAAACTCGCACAACAACAACTAAGCGAAAAAGCCTTGCATGCTCTTTATAAAATTCGTAAAAATCTAGATTTTCATAAACTTTCACCAAAAACAGCAACAAAAATTTTCGACTCAATAATTTCCCCAATTCTACTATATAACTCAGAAGTCTGGGGAGCATACGAAAAAAATGATCTGAATAAATGGGATAATTCAGAAACTGAAAAAATTCATTTAAGATTCTGCAAGCTATATCTAGGTGTTAACAGAAGAGCCAGTAACGTGGCTTGCAGAAGTGAACTTGGGAAATACCCACTGCTGATTACAATAAAAAAGAATATACTAAACTATTTTAAACATATTTTTAAACTAGACGACAACTCAATAGTTAAACAATCCTTCCTAATGTCTAAACAACTATTTGAAAAAGGCAAAGAATCTTTCTACACCAACGCAATAAACATGCTTAAATCACTCTATGATAATACAACAAACTTGGAAAGTGATATAATCAACTACGATACAAAAACTATTGTAAATAAGATGAAAGATAAATATTTTGAATTTTGGCAACATAAAATGATTAACTCCTCCAAACTATCTTTCTTTTGTACATTTAAAAACCAGTACAAAATGGAAGAATATTTATCCCTTATTGATAACCCAACGATAAGAAGAACATTTTCTCAATATAGAGTAAGTAATCATAAATTGCAAATTGAGCGAGGAAGATACGAAAACGTTTCTCGCGAACAACGTTTCTGCAAACTTTGCAACAACGGTGAAGTGGAAAACGAATATCACTTAGCCTTATCTTGCCCGAAATACGAAGAATTAAGAAATAATTCTAACAACATTCTCAAAAATCTATTTTATCTTAATAACACAATGGAAGGAAAACAAAAACTGTTTGAGCATGCGATGTCTTCAGACGATCAAGTTCTTGTTAACCTGCTTTCTAAGTAGGCCTATATCTTTCACTGTTTTTCGGAGAGAGATAAAAGCCTCAAATCCATGGAAGATTAGGGACAACAATTAGACTAAAAATTGCTTAGATAAATAATAAAACAAAATAAACAAAAAAAAACCCCAACATTATATCTTTAAATTATATACTAGCTGCTTTTCTATTTGTAAATAGCTTCTTCCTATATATTTTTATAGTTATAGCTTAGATATTACTGTCATTTTATATATATATAATCTACGCTTAGCAATACCTGTAATTAGGTCATGCAAATAAAGCTTTATAATAATAATACCGGATCTGTTGTCTTACGAGCATTCGTCATGAAACCGCTGAATATCGGAATGACTTGATCAGAACTGTTGTCCCCCCGTGCAATTATCCAAGCAAAATAGAATGTCAAAAACTTTCTGTCATCAAAAATAAATTGCTCTGGGACGATTTCTATGCTGCATGTTGGTGGTAGGATTTGACTTTCAACTTTATTTGGTATAGGGTCTGGATCTTCACTGCTTATTCTATGTGAGGCTTTTCTTGGCACATGTATATGAAAATTGTGAGCCTCCAAAGTTTTCCCTTCTTGAAATGCTATCAAAGTTGTAATGTTAATTTCACCACCACTATACTGCTTGTCGGTAGCCAAATCAAAATTGTCAACCCAGAAATGACTAAGAAGAATCTCGCCAGCACTTGAGGCATGCAATGGAAGAAGTGAAGTAAGTTTAGACTTTTCTAAACAGCTCTCAGCATTAGCAGTCAAGATCTCACTTTCCATTGTGTAACTAACACTATGTCCAAACTTACTTAGTATTTCAAAACATTCCTTTGGCCGGTCAAGTTATGAACTTCGAGGCCAATCAGGAAGTGCTTTTCCATGATGGTTTTACCTTTGGTAATTCCATGAACAAGGTCTTGTCTGAAAGAATCTACCAAACGTGAAACATTGATGTTGTCACAACGCCCTGGTTGACTAAGAGCGGATTCAAAGAAATTTCTGACCGATTCGGGAGGTTTTCGTCAGCTGCCTGAATGGTGTCTTGACGATGGTGTAAACTGTCTTTCTGGATATCCTTACTGGCAATATATTCTGGCACTGAGCAGTTTTGTGGTGATAAGATTATTATCCGCTCCTAAAACTTTGCATTGGTTTGTATATCTTTTTTTAACCACTTCAACCCATACACGAAATGAATTTCGTACCTCTTTCGATAACCTCGGTAGAATTTTCTTTCCCCCATGCTGGACACGATTTTTTGCACATAATTGGCATTCATCTCCGTAAACAATCGTTGAAAGTGTTCCGGTACTTACTCTCACTGAAGATCGAATTTTGCTGCTGCTAGCTTGGCCGTCCTCGGTGGAAAGTTTAAACTTCTTGTTTCCAAGTATTGCAGTAAATCTGAAACAATAGGAGTGAGAGTATGCAAAATGGAAAAGGATTTAGGATATTAAGCAAAACAAACAGCAACAGTTGAGCTGCGTCGTTTTGATAAACATACATGTATGTAAAGGTTTTAATACTGTTTATAACAAGGCTCCTGATGAACGCCATGTTCCCTACTTTCAAAGTTTTCGGGTATTGTCGAGCATTAATCTGCATGTGAATGAGATCCTCCTATGTCACTTCTTTTTTTCTTCGCCTGAACGATTTTTTCTTTATTTACATCAGACAACTCTTTGACAGTGCTGTACGAAGTTTTATCTGCATAATGGACTACGCATACGAGGTTGGTTCCTTTCTCTCTTTTTCTATTAGTGCTCAATTTTTCTAAACACATGAAAGAACCTTTAACTCTTTACGCACAGACATTAATTTCACACATTTACTGTCGCGCGTCTTTAAAATCCTTACAATATGACCTTTGTAACGGGGGGTTTGTATTGCCGTCAAAACATTACAGAAACAAAAATATAGAACATTGAATCAAAAATTGTCCATTATTTACCTCATTTAATTTGGAAGAAAACTTGAATTTCTCAAAAAGTTTATGGAATTTCGCCAAGGTATATCAGAACATTTTAAAGCTCATATTCAGGGGCTTTCATGTAGAAAATTTCGTTTGTATAGGCCAAGTGGAAGTATTGTTTTTCAAATTTTCAATATTTGTGAACTTTGACTCCGCATGCCCGTCACCTGATCATATTTGGCTGTATCACGCGCCTCTCTTGTTTTAAGCACGTGGGAAGCATGCTGCAGGGGTAAGCGGCTATAAATCGCGTGTACTGTGTTGTAAATACACATATCTAGCATATTTGACTAGAATTTTCGTATTGAATCGAACGGTGGTATTTCCATCTCTATAGCATGCACTGAACCGAATTATATATAGCCATGTAAACAATAGCGCCTGTCGTAATAACTAATGAGTTAAACAAAATTGCCTTTGTTTCTAAATAAATAGCAGTTGTCATTAGCAACAAGTTGATAATTATTAAGTGGGATCGATATCTAAAGCATGTATTGCCAAAAATAATCGAATTTAAATAGTACACCTCTGTATTATACCTTATTTTTTCTATACCGTATAGCTTTCAGTGGCATGTTGCATAGCCACCATGTTAAATTTTATATTAATTTTCACCACTTTAAAAAAGGTTTTTAAAAGCTTTAAAACATTCAGTTTGTCTTAAGAATATACAGGGTTTGTAAAAGGATAATGTTTTAAAAATAGATTTCACTATTTATACGTTATAAACAATAAAAAAATAAGGTAAATACTCACGCTAGAACTTTACCGTTTCACATCAAAAACATCAAGTTACTGATCTATAAATAAAACTGGAGCAAGTGCTGTTTTCTTTTTTAAGCCAAACATGTCAATACAATAGAATCAAAATTGTCGAAAATATTGAAACAAGATGTACTTCTTTTATTTGCATCAAAAACATCAAATATGCCGGGGGGGAACAAAGGAAATCATAATTTGCTGGTGGAAAACCCCTAAAATGAACGTTGTCACCCCTCTGAAAGGCCAAGTCTCCATTGTAATGGACGCACAAAGCTATGTTTTTCAACCTTTTGTGAACAGGTAGGCAATTTGTCAACGCTGACCAAAAATGGCGGCTCATTTCTTCTTGAGTTGCCATTTTCACGTCGAAGAGTAAAAATATAGACTTTCGGAGAATATTTTAGCTGTTTACTATCAAATATGTTTGTGACACGGTTGATAATCTCACTGAGGAAGGCCAATTGTTCCTGAAAAGCTAAACTACGTCGAAATCAGCTTTGGAATAGACTATATTTTCATCGGGGAAACATGAACAAAATGGATATTTACATCAACACTAAATTTTGTTCGTACCTACAGAGCTAGTTGGATTAAACAGATCTTAAGAAGTAAGTGAAAATGTGAACTTTGTGAATTATACTTTCATTAAAATGTTTCAGAAGGTCTGCTAATGTCAAACTACACGTGTGACAGAGCTGTCAGTATACCCATATTTCAATGTTTATGTGGAAATGACCTATCTTCTTTGAGGTATAGCTTAAAATTTAGGGTATGCTCATCACTTGAAACTAGCTTTAAATCAAATTTTTATCTATTGTCTTTATATTAGAATTAAAATCATTCATGGGAAAAATGTGCCAGAGGGTTGAAATTGCCCTTGTAAATGTACACTATTTTGGACATGCTTGGGTTAGTATTTTGAAAAGGTGTTCTGGAAGGAAGATATGTCTTGAACAATACCGGTTGACCCTTAAATTATAACTAGTGTTATGTAAATCACAGAAAATTGAAAAAAATCTGGTCCATACACAATATTTTGGATCCTATGAGGTCCCGAATGGGGCTTATTTCAATGTTGAATCTGTTTACCTGGAAAAACTTGAATAAGTCAAGAATTTGACATGGTTCATCACCCAAAACCAGGTTTTTCTAATTGCTTTTTCACCTGGGTTTGTGGTAGTGCGCGCTGCACTTTTTTTGGACACTGAAGATGGTAACATTTGATGTTGTCATATATTGCCATTCTCTTATTGTAGCATAACTTAACTTATTTTAATGAATTTGTTAAAGAGTTGTATTCACTATATGCTTGTAATATCTAAGATTTTTTCATAGCATTATATGATAAATTTAAGTTCTGTTTTCTTTTATTTTTAGGTGATAGTATCAGTTCACTCCAGTGTTGGTATCAAATTTTGGACAAGTTTCAATTATTATTTCACAATCCTTTACTCAAATATCCAAATAAATGGAATATGACATCAAGCTGGAGGACTAGATCCTGTTTTCAAACATGTTTTTTGTAAAAATAGAAAATAACAACTTATTCTGTGTTGTTCTAATAAAAACCATTGTTTTTGATATGCATATATTTTAATTTTATTCTTTGTTAAAATGTGTACCTGGAATACTGAAATCTTTCAGATCAGCTAACAATACCTTTATAACTTATATAGCCAAGTGTTCTATCTATTTTTGTTCAGATTAAACAAATAATGAGTAAAATATTAGATAAGATTTTTTCAAAAAATATGAGCTTGCCTGTTTTCAAAGCATCAAAAGCAATAAAATAAAGCAAAAGTACTTATTTTTAATTTAAAACCTTTGGAATACACAGCTTTATGTTTTCCACGAAATATTACAAAGTTTTCGTTCATTAAAATGTTGTTTTATCAGCTTTAAAACCAGATAAATCCACGAAGCACTCCTAATATATGTCGCCATATTGATTTTCTGCGCGCAGGCGCGGACAAATTGCCTACCTGTTCCTTTTGTGAAGTCTTTTTAGTCTCAAAAAATGCATCACTGAACAATTTGTAACCTTTAAATACAGTCTGACGAGTACTTATTGATTCTTTTGATTAAATTATTTTTTTCATACCCATGGCTTTAGCCCCAACCCCCCCCCACCCCTGTTCCGAGTGAATACCACCGCCCCAGACTGAAAACTATCACGATTCTTACACTATAGGTTTTGGTCTTTCAGAAAATCACAATAAGAATTTCTGCCTAAAAAGTTCCAAAAATGTCAAAATTTGCCTGTACTATTTCTACGGCTGAATGAATTTTGCATTTTTGATTATATTTCCTCACAGCGACAGATTTTTACTCCTGGCACATCATTCCTATCATGCTCTCTCTTAGTGATGTAATCCAATCATTTTAGGGTCTCCTAAAAAATTTCTGCATTTTGACTGATGTTTCTATTGGGATAAAATAGGAAATTACAATCACTACAAGGCTCATTAGTCATAACATCGAAAAATATGGGAAAATAGCATTACCGGCGTGACCTTAAAAATTGAATAGAAATAAATTGGAACAGTAGCTGTATTTTAATTGTGGAGTACTGTCAAATCTTAACAAATTGGACGTAAACATCCATTTTTTATCTTTTCAAAGACTATTTGAGTCTTGCTAAGAATCTTCTAAACTGAAAAGAAATTGTAACATAAGCACCCTGGGGTTCCACAAGCCCTCCCCCCTCCTGAGCCCCTTGGACCCCCCCACCCGACAAACACCTTCAAGTTTTGTATGAATGCGTTATCGATAGAGAACATCTGTATTAACGGTATTATATATGCGAATTTAAAAATTTAAATGACACGTGCAGTTTAATAAATATTATTATTATTTAAAAATTTCTGGTTTCTGATTGGCTAACAGCCAACTGTGAAGTTGTCATATCAACTCAATGGCTAACCAAATATGGATTTTTCACATTCATATTAGCAAAATGACGTCAAAGAGTCAATATGAAAAAAATTTGGACGCGTTTGCGCCATATTACTATGACGGCGAGATTCATATTGACTCGCTGACGCCA